TCCTTGAGGCTCGGCCGACCATTGGCGAGGACACTCGGTATGCAGCCTGACGAGATAAAACCAACAACTACCGCCACAGGCACGAAGTTACCCGACCTAGTACCGTATCGAGAGCTGTGCATTCATCTCAACCAGGTAAGCACAACGGACAACATTCAAGGGGGTCACCCTCCCACTATACTGAGAGCCATACCGGTAAAAACGGAGAAATACAACGACGGTAGAACCGAGTCGTTTTCACCGCGGCAGTATAAGAGGTTAACCCAGGGCGACATCCCTGAGCTGATAATATCGGTGTTAGATATAAATCATAATCTCGTGAATATAGGATACCTCAGCATAACGCTGTACATAAATTTACCAGCGCACAAGGTCCTGGAATGAAGTTGAAAAAATGCATCAATTTGGGGATCTCCGACCTCGGGGACACACGCGGATTCGACGACCCCGGAGTAGAGGGTAAATTGTACGCCTTGCAACTGAAAAACATCATTTACAAACGCGTTGAAGTCCCCTCCATCGGTGGTACTAACAATCTAAGTGATATAGTAGATACCACAAGAGCGGTAGTCAACACTCGGTACACCCTAGTCACCACCGGGGATGATAAATGGATAATATACCCATCGTTCGGGGGCAAACTGTTTGACTTAGAAGATGTTGAGAGCACTACCGTCGCCCGAAACAAGCCATATACGCTCGTCTTCACCGAAGATGACAAGTGGGTGTTATTACCCGATAAAGACGACTGGCTTCTCAATATTAGGCTCGGTTCCCCCTACGTGTTCACGGATAACAAAGACAACCACCTAAATAAAGTCGTGAACAACGGAACCCTGCTCGTGGCTTACGTCCCGACTCAGAGACGTAGCGTAGTCATCGGCCCACTCTCCAGTATGGCAGCCAATATGGTATCGAGTAAACTGGGCATGCAAAACGTAGTATTGCAGTTGGTGTCTGAATTCGAAGGCGTGGTCAAGATCCTGGAGAGTCTACCGGCGAACTCAACACTGGTCATCCAAGTCTACCTAGGGGAACCATCGCGGGATGATGTCAAGATCGTGAAGGGGGTCAAACTCTGGTGGGGGAAACAACACCAGTATCACGTTTGCAACGTTTACGTGAGGGTGGGTGTCGACTCCAAAACCAGTCTGCAGGGTGTAACCGTGATCGTGGAAGACACGATATCACTAACCAAGATATTCCTACCCGACAACATACACTTCACTGGGGTGAAGTGCACCCCTGAACTATTATCAGAAAACCAGTTGGAAATTATATCGTAATAGTATTATAGCAATGTCTTGGCTTCGCCCGAACACTACGCTTAACGATCTAGGGGACACGGAGGGACTCGATCAGCCTGGTGAGGAAGGTGGCTCATACGTCCTGCTATTAAGAGACGGTGTGTACATACGGCAACCTCTGGCAGACTTTAAAGAACCCGCATGGTTAATCAACATGACCCTCACCGCACCGTATATCTCGATAAACCAAAGATGGGTTTATCTCCGAAATTAGGAACAACGGTCTCTTGATTGGGATTTTCATTCCGGAGTCTATTGCATATGTCCGGGTAGGTATTGGTAAACCACACAACACATTAATTTCAGTAGGAAAAAATAAATTAAGGTTTGCCGTCCTTGATTCCAAATTGGGGGTGAGGGATAAATCCCAACGCTCCACACTCATCATAGAAGTCACCTTTTCGAAGATAGTCCCGAAAGGTTCACCAGTACCACTTTTACCCGGGGTGGTAATATACTGGCGCGCCGAACACATATACCAATATTGTCGTATTGTTATACAACCGGATGCCTTAACGGATCCTATAGGCCCCTTAGTAAGCCTCCGTGGGGTTTATGTTAGAGCAGAGGCACCTATTAGCCTCTCACCTATTACCCAGCCTGATGGCCTGGAACTTGTAAGCTTCAAATACACTACACAAGTTTTAAATAGCACACAATTAGAAAATATCTCATAAAATATATTATATGCACACAGAATGGGTCTGTACCCAGTCGTAGAGGAAGTAGCGAAGACCCTGGAAACTGTAGACGGGTTCCGCTTGAGACAGTTATGCGATGTAAAACACCAACTAGAACAAGACCTCGACACGCGGAAAGCACTATATAAGAAGTACCATAGAGCTTTCAATGCCATGGACGGGACTGATACTGCCCTTATGGCAACCAGCATGGCACTAGGGGTGGCAGGTGTTGGGTTGTTAGCTACCATCGTGGCTGCACCTATAGTGTTAGGTACTGAAATAACAGCTGGGGTGGCAGGGGTGGCAGGGTTGGTGCTTAAGTTTGCATCACGCAGACTGCATCGTAAGGCGTTGAAACACGACGAGATCAGGGTTCTGGCCGAAGCAAAGCTGAACACAGTAAGTGAGCGTATTTCCACGGCACTCACTGACAGTAAGATCTCAGAGGAGGAGTTTCGTTCAATCCTCTCTGAACTCACAAAATATAACAAAATGAAACAAGATATTCGATCCAAGTCTCGTAAGTCTACTATCAGCGAGGACGAGAAAAAAAAGTACATAGAACAGGGGATACAAAAAGCCCGGCAAGCCTTTATTACGAACACCAAAGAGATCAAAGGCGATTCACATTAAACTGTTTCATCGAGGTCAACGTGACATAGGGTAATCACAATAGTGTCATAGCGGCACGTTAGACGTAGCCAAGCTTTGGATGATGCAACCCCAGGATAGACCCGTTAAACCGACATACTTCAGCCATGTCCATGGTAGCTCAGTCGGTTGAGTAGTGCAGTTGTGAGGTGTACCTGTGGGGTTCGTATCCCGCTGGCGTCTCAAAGTTTTTATAGTAGGGGAAATGGTAGCTGGATCAAGGGTCCGACCAAAGCCTTATTTGGGAAATAAGGCTTTGCAGAGGCTTTTGTTGGACTTGGTTCAGGACTACCATTGTATCTACTACTCCTTGTTAGTGTTTGTTTTATAGCACTAAGCCATAAATCATGTAGATTAGAACACCTGTCAACCTGACACTGTTATCCCATCCTTGGGACTATAAAACTGCAACAAATCAACTCACAAATCATAAAACACACATTTTGGCGCACAAACAAAATACTGAAAAAGTGAAAATAGAAAGTTGAAACAGAAAACAAAAAAGTGACAAATTAGTGTTTAGGCCAATCAAGCAACTATAATAATCCATTCTAATATGACAAACATTGACCACTGCTGTCACAATGCTGCGAAATATGGGGAGTTAAATATAATGATTCCATTGAAAAAGTCCACGCTATATATTTAAACATTTATTAGGTGTTGATAATATGTCTCCAACAAAGCTATTTTAGGAGAAATTGGTCGCATTGGTCTCTTTGTTTCATCTCAGTTAAGGGCTGTCAAAGATTGGATAAAGCTACTTCGTATGATTTCAAAAAGATTTACCGTTCAATGTTATAACATGTTAAAAAGATTGGATGATAATGGGAAAGATTATTGCGTGTCTGATATAAGAAATATTCTATTTATGTCTGGTTTTCCCTTGATTGGATATCTCAAAATGTTGGAAATGACAAGTTATTTACCTTTATCCTTAAAACAGAGATTAAATGACATATTTTCACAAAACTGGCACTCTCAAATATCATCCTCAAGCTTTCTGTGTCATTGTGCAAATATAAAATCATTACTTATTCCTGAAAAATATGTATCCGAACTGCAGGGTAGAACTTGAACACGCGCATTCTGTAAATTACGACTATCACTCCACAATTTTAATGTTACATTTTTTAGAAAGACGTACATGATAAAAAAAATAGTTTATGTAATTTTTGTAATGAAGACTATGTCGAGGATAAATTTCATGTTCTTTAATTTTGTGAGCATTACCCGTCTCTTAGAAGCAAATACCTCCCTATGATCTCAACTGTGTACAAAGATGAGCAACACATGAAAAACCTGTAAACTCAAGAAATAGCAATATAATATTATCTGTTTCAATATTCCTTAAAAAGATTTTTGAAATTAGACGGTAATATATGTATGCATATTTATATTTCCACGTGACTGTGCAATGTAAAAATATTATAACAACACAACTGTACTATAGGTCATATGGCCTGAAATATTGAATACACATCTGTCTGTCTGTCTGTCTGTCTGTCTGTCTGTCTGACAATGCTAAAGGGCAAATCCCCACAGTAACTAATTACTGAAAACATTAAAATTAAGTACGAGTAGAACGGACATAAACTTCATTGAATAAAACATTTACACTGACGAGGCCGGGACGTGTCAGGCCCTGGAACCTGTTGCACACATGGGGGAAACTGATCGATAACCACAGTCACAGCACAGTGGCACAGTGGACTCTTCATGTCAGATGTAATACATATTTAGGGCCAGTGGACTCTTCATGTCAGATGTAATACATATTTAGGGCCAGAAGGCTATATAGAAGTGATATGATTAGTAAACAGTAGTAAACTGTCTACTGTGTGATAACCCTCATAAAACATATAATGTCTGTATTGAAATTGTGAAGGTTGCTGATTTAATTCCTTCTACAATACACTCACCACAACCACCATAAACACTTATTAATCTGCAAACATTTGGATAGAATATATACATGCATAATGTGCATATCGTAAGTAGCACAAGAATTGCGAAAAGGGTAGTTCGTTCTACTAAAAGCGATAAGAGGAGTTTCAAGCGAACACGACAATCGTAACGATTAGGTCCTGTCTGGTATACATCTCAAACATCTATGTTTAATAACGGGAAGTTTTTCTTCAGCATTTGTCAAACGCGAGTTTCAAAAATACAACTAAAAAAAAAATATGAGGAAATCATGAAGCAAAAGCTAAACAGACAATTGAAATGATCAATAAATCCAACATCCAACTGATACGTTTGTCATATAACGATGGCAACTATTGCTGTTATAATGCAAAATATAAAACCCAACATGTTATAGCAGTGAAACCTCATCAGTAACACAACTGACAGTGTTATGAAACCAAACCAGACATAAAATTCATTAATTGAAACACCCAGCCTAGCGAGGCCGGAAGATGACATTTAATCAAACCAAGCACGAACTTTCACAGCGACCACAAACAATAAAAACCAGATGAAATAACATGTATGTGTGTCTGTGTTTGTTGTGTGTTATGACAATTATAGCATGTTATTTTCGATTGTTGAAAAGGGGGATACTTCATTTTCTATTCTACTTGAACTAATCATCGGTGGGATGTTGTGATTCTAATGGTCGTCTACTCGCTGCATTTCATCTATGCATATTGATACTATGCTAAAATTACATTATTATGTTAAATGGAAAATAATGGCGTCACTTGCTATCACAAGTTGTTAAACAGTAATAATACTTTAACTGGATCTTCCTCAATGTTGGTTTTAACCATTTGGGTTTTGTTGAGGTCTGATCTATACTGTAGCAAACAGTTACTAACTGAAGTTCAAAGTTCCTTTACAGAACTCCGTATCTGCAATAAGGGATTACATTGCATCAGTCGTCAATTGGAGACAAATATTTCCCTGCTCTCTCAGGACGTTCAACAACATAGTTCCGTATTAGTTTAGTGTACGCGTCGTCATCAAGAGCAGACTGCTCTGCTGTAGCAACATCGTTGACTGCATCGTCACAGTCTGGAGCAAAGCACTCTGCTATAGCAACATCGTTGACTACATCGCCACAGTCTGGAGCAAAGCACTCTGCCAGAACAGGCATGTCCGGGACAGCAGCCCCTGTTACTGAATCATTTCGGTTCATGGCTGGCAGCTCACACATGGTTGCCAAATCTTCGTCTCTGATTTCACAGTAGTCCGGCAACACCTGGTCGTCATGGCTTGGCGCTGCATCTTGATTAATACTCTGAATTCTGCACCCTCTGTGAAAGAAATAGGTGTGTTTTGTACACAAAGACATGGTCAGTACTCTATATGTAATCCATATATATATTCCTGTAAATAATCCTGTCTGTATATTTGTTTATCACACACTTTGCACTCTTTCTAATTTCATTTGAAAATAAATTTTAGAAGCAGGAAATCTTTGTCTAGGCAACCAAAAGAATGACAGCTGAGTTAGCAAACAACCAAGAGAGCTGAGGATGATAAACCATTAGCTGATGATTTCTTTAAAAATGGTCTTAGTCAGGCAATGGTACATACAAACATACTGTGACACACTAGTACACTGATGGTCATGGTGTATATCATCCTTTACTACCTACAGTGAAGCATGCAGGGCATAACGTAGCGTTCTCGAACACTATAAACCTAAGAATTATTCAATCATGTAGGGAACAAGGACATTGATTTAGATAACACAAGGATACGGGCAGTACAGCTGCGTCACAAAAACGAAAACATTCTAAATGCAGGAGAAAAGCGTGACAGTGTTGTTGAAGCCATAATAATATTTCTCTTTCGATAAATACATTAAGTGGCTATGTATGTGTATTATACTCACTTAGTTCTCAAACGTTTGTAGAAGGGGCGTGATAGACCCAGCAAGATGATCACCACAAACATTGAAATCACCGCTGACAGCCCAATCTTCAAGTCGGCAATGCTGCTGTCACTGACACCTGCAATGGAGAATATGTAATAAGAATCTACACAGATAATTGTGTCAACATATATAATAAGACCAATGTTCAATTTGTGGACACCAGCAACTAATGTGAACACTCATACTTCTTATTTTTATATTGCCAAATATGGACGAGCTACTTAACTAATAAATAAATTTAGCTTAACTGATAAATGAGATAGTTACCATGGTTGCAGCTTAGACATTCCGCTATGGAACAGTTGGCTGTACACGTGGAATCACACTTTCGTCCAGTCAGCTGACAGCCTTCAGTGCACGTGCCACTCATCTGATCACATACACCATCAAGACAAACTTCACACGTGTGTTGGCAGAGGCCACCATAGAAGCCACGTGCGCACCCATCTGTACACGACCCGCTGTCTGACTGACACTTGGAGTTTCTACAGTTAGAACTACACGGAGAGGAGCACTGTCGGCCATACCACCCCTCGTCACACCCGTGGATACAGTCCCCACTGTCTCTGTGACAGTCACGTACTCCAGTGTTTGGCGCCAGTAGAGGTTTGTCAGTAGAGATGTTGGGGTTTGGACCACACTTGTCACTGCACGTCTTGTCACAGATCGAGCCATAAAATCCAGGAAGACAACCCCCTGTGCATCCATGTTCACAGGATCTCAGGCAGTGATCACAGGAATACCCACAGTTTGGACCAAAGTATTCACGGTCACACTCACTGCACGATCCTGTCATCCTGTTGCAGGACTTACATCGACTGGAACACGACTTACAGCCAGTCCCGTAGTAGGAGTCTACACATCCAGACACACAGGATGAGCTCAGCTGACAATATCCTCCATCACAGCCACCTGGACATGCTGTACAGCTACCTCCTGGACTGTCACATGGTATGTTGCACCCTGGGCCGTGATATCCGGGGACACAACCATCAGTACAATCACCGACACCAGAGACTGACAACAGACATGAGTGGTTCCTGCAGGTCTTGCTGCACGCTGACATGCACATCTGATCAAAATACCCGGTGTCACAGTCTGTGAGGCAATTCCCATTTCTGTCACACTCTGAACAATGCTGGTTGTTCCTGCACTGTTCGCCTGAAAATTGAAAAGAGAACACCATATTGATTATTGAAATAAAGCATAAACTCTGTCATCTGTAAATGGCGCCAGTAACGTTTGCATGCTACTGTAATCAAGTAACTGTGCATTATGTGATGTTATGCCACTTTTAGTGCAGAAAGATAATACTAACACGATTTGAGGTGTTTTCCTCAATCTCTGTTTAACTGTTGGCAGGCTAATATAGAAATCTGCATGATTTGACATTAGGCACGCCCTTGGACAGATGTGGTGTCAAAAGTCAGTTATTCAGTATCGTGTCTGTCCACCATTGGCGTTGATGCAGGCTTAACAACTACGATGCATAGATGACACTAAGTGATTGAAGAAAGCTTGGGGAATGTTGTTCCATGTCTAAACCAACGCTTGTGCCAATTCAGCCAACCTCAATCGCTGATTCTGGACTTGACGTAGACGTCGTTTCATTTCATCGCAAGCGTGCTCAATAAGGGAAAAACAACTGGCCAGGGGGGTAGTTGTTCTGCGGTTTCAGGAAATCTGTCCCAACACGAGCGGATGTGGACTGACATTATCTTGCTGAAGGGTGATGTTACGTCTCTGTCCTTGAATAAACGGCCTCTTGGTCTCATCCCTGTATCGCAGACCTGTCAGATAATCAGTGATAATGACAACTTGTGTCCTAACATGAGATGTGATGACTTCCAATACCATAACGCTTCCGTCATTAAACTGTCGGCGTTGAGCAAACGTTCACCTCGTCGTCTGTACACCTTTTCCTGCCATCTGAGCGGTCCAGATGAAATCTCGCCTCATAAGTGAACAAAACACCATCCCAATACTTTTTCCTGTACCGTAGATGCTGTCTGCACAAGGCTAGACGTGCCTGTCGGTGACGTTGGAGCAAAATTGGATGCTGTGCACCCACAGTCCGTTGTGTAGAGTCCTGGAACTGATTGGACGTTAGCAAGGAATGGTCCGAACAGTCAAACTGGCAGTCTAAACTCGATTCCGTAGAAACCTTAGAAACCATCCTGGTTGTCCTGCTGAGGTGACGTTACGTGTGGACGGTCCGTCCGAGGCAGAGCTTTCTTGTTCCCATTATGTCGAAATCGCCTCCATAGTGATGGTATCGCACGCAAAAATGTCTAGTCACTTGATTTTTGGGCCATTCCAGTCTCAAGCATACCGACGGCGCGGACACGCTGACTTTCTGTAAGCCGTGGCATGACGAACGCACAGTTTAACTTGAAATTAATGTGTTTTCTATAGCATTCAGAGGCTCGAGAATAATCAACCGTTCTTCAGTTTTCATGTCCGGTGTGTGAACCTTGTCATGTGTCAAAATCATGCACAAGGTGAGTAAGTTCATTGTGCACAAAGTACGCGTGCCACGTGCCACGTGCAATACTTCAGATTACATGCAAAGTGCGCTTCTACGAGTTTATTTAGGGTATTTTTTATAAGTTTCAAATAACTTTTATTTTACGCTATTTTATGTTATGCACAGTTACTTTTTTCCTTAAATATATGTATGAGAGTTAAGACAATGGCATAAAAACGACCAGTACAGTACACCTGCCCATTTCTGATGTTGTCCCCCGCCATGATATTGCTGGAATATTACTAACAGCGGCGTAAAACTGAATTCACTCACGCGCTCAGTACAACTACGTATGCAACAATACATCCTCATTCTGAACCTCATTCGATTCCCCACATTGGTTCACCGCGTGAAGCCCATTTCTGGTGTCCCCTGGGGTGATGTTGTTGGAATGTAGCTAAGACTAAACTCACTCACTCACTCTGACATCAGGCTCATAACGTGCTTTGAGGCAATACTTATACATTTCTGTAAACATTCTTTGTACGAACTATTGACAGACATAATCACATTAATCAGTCATAGCTCCAAGGAGTTATAAACAGATACGTAAGTCAGTTTGAAACACTTACCTTTAGAAAAGATTATTAGATATGCCATACACATAGCCTTCAGCAGGGTCATGCTGTGTTCTCAAATCACAAACACAATATGGGTATGTGTTGATACTATAAGTCTGTGCCTCACTGTGCGATGACGAGCAGAGTGCGTGTGTAATGTTAGTTTGTTCTTATAACCAACTTCAGCTTTATGAAACAGATTTCATCTTCCTCCCAAGCCGGAAAAAATATATCACAAGTTTAGACGACCACAACTGTCGTCCAGATCTTGCTCTTAACTGATACATATACAGTCAAACCCCTTTATGTCGAACTCGTGGTGACCTTGAACAAAGTTCGAGTTATCCTGTCATTGTACAATATAACCTTCTAAACATGGCAATACGTAGACATTTGACAAGTAGTTAGCATGTGTGACACTGTCCTGCTACGTTACATTAACCACACGGTTGTACTACTACTACTACTACTACTGCTACTACTACTACTGCTACTACTACACGGTTGTACTACTACTACTACTACTACTACTATGTGGACCTGGGGCAAGATATACCGGATACCTTCGTTGTGCCACTTTTAAAAGTTCCACGCCAGACCTCTGCGTTCTCAACCCGTCACAGCTGATGACGTTCTTGGACGACAACTTCGGGCTATTGAGCCTCCTGATCACAATCTGCAGGAACTGACACAGGCAGTCAATGAATAGTAGAAGAAGACTCCATGACAGAGAATTCCATACAGCCAGTATAAGGGGGAGACTGGTATCTGTGCTACACCAGGTACTGATGTGGTCGTCAATGCTGAAGACTCCATGACAGAGAATTCCATACAGCCAGTATAAGGGGGAGACTGGTATCTGGGGAGGTACTGGTATCTGTCAATGCTGAAGACTACACAGAGAATTCCAGGTACTGGTATGTGTGGTCGTCAATGCTGAAGACTCCATGACAGAGAATTCCATACAGCCAGTATAAGGGGAGACTGGTATCTGTGTTACAACAGGTACTGATGTGGTCGTCAATGCTGAAGACTCCATGACAGAGAATTCCATACAGCCAGTATAAGGGGAGACTGATGTGGTATCTGTGACTACAGAGAATTCCAGGTACTGATGTGGTCGTCAATGCTGAAGACTCCATGACAGAGAATTCCATACTGCCAGTATAAGGGGGAGACTGGTATCTGTGCTACACCAGGTACTGATGTGGTCGTCAATGCTGAAGACTCCATGACAGAGAATTCCATACAGCCAGTATAAGGGGGAGACTGGTATCTGTGTTACACCAGGTACTGATGTGGTCGTCAATGCTGAAGACTCCATGACAGAGAATTCCATACAGCCAGTATAAGGGGGAGACTGGTATCTGTGCTACACCAGGTACTGATGTGGTCGTCAATGCTGAAGACTCCATGACAGAGGGGAATGGTATCTGTGCATACTGATGCCAGTCCATGACAGAGGGGAGACTGGTATCTGTGCTACACCAGGTACTGATGTGGTCGTCAATGCTGAAGACTCCATGACAGAGAATTCCATACAGCCAGTATAAGGGGGAGACTGGTATCTGTGCTACAACAGGTACTGATGTGGTCGTCAATGCTGAAGACTCCATGACAGAGAATTCCATACTGCCAGTATAAGGGGGAGACTGGTATCTGTGCTACACCAGGTACTGATGTGGTCGTCAATGCTGAAGACTCCATGACAGAGAATTCCATACAGCCAGTATAAGGGGGAGACTGGTATCTGTGCTACACCAGGTACTGATGTGGTCGTCAATGCTGAAGACTCCATGACAGAGAATTCCATACAGCCAGTATAAGGGGGAGACTGGTATCTGTGCTACACCAGGTACTCATGTGGTCGTCAATGCTGGCCCCTACAGTCACAGTAATCAGAACTGTGTCACTAGCATGGTGGTGGACGAGATTTCTTAGTTTCGAGTCATCAGGGGTTGTATGCTAAATGAGTTCGATATTATGAGAAGTTCGACATATCCATATTTATAGAGTATAAATGTTGATAAATATTGAAACAGAATTGAGTGAGTCTGTTTTACAAATATGACCTTTCTATGAGAAAGTGATATACCCTTTCACATAGTAACTACCTTCAAAGAAATGTCACCTTGACCTTTACACTGTTGTGAGTAACGTTTTCTGTTTTGTATTCATGTTCCTCAGGAGACAGAACATATTTTCTTACTGACACTGAAACCAAACATCTTTGACCAGCTCATTCTGTATTTCCGAATATTTGTTGTTATCATGCAACGAGTTGTTTTCAGCTATTAACGCTCTAAATTAAGTCTCTATCAACAGTAAATGTGAGTGTACTCTACATGAGGTTGCATGTCGAAATGCTATTGGTAAAGTAGCAACATACACATATCTCTGGTGACAACATATTCTACGTTCTCTGGTGACAGCATAGTACGAATCTGACTTTATCTCACATAGAGATGACGCCAGACGTGGTGAAGATGTGAGCGTATCCTGCCACACCAATGGCAGCATCACAAACACATGCAAAAGCGAGACAAGTGTGTAACCACTGGACGTTTATTTTTACCTTATCAGATTACATGTATGTCGAACGTTGAGTAATTTAGTTTGGCTAATTGGACCTTCTGGAAATTACACGGAAGATGATGTTCCTGTTAGCATGTACAAAGTTACTTCTTTGAGTGGCATTTTAGAAGTTGGGAAGTACAATACTTACAACTTGCTTTCCATAATTTTGTCAATAAAATAAAGAGGTTATGGCTTTATTAAGAAGGGACTTTAAAGCGCGTGCGTGTGTGTGTGTGTGTGTTGTGTGTGTGTGTGTATACACACACAAAACACAAAAGTCTGAAGATCCTTGGTACAGATATAATTTCTTCAATTCTAACCTGTTTCACACTGTCAATGTGATCATCATGGGAATGACGTTGCTATACTCTGTGTATAACGGCGTTGCTAAGCTATGACGTCACTATGTATATATATTGGTGAATTGACATTCCGACTGTTGCAGGTGGTCGACTTCAACAATGTTGAACATCTTGGCGGTTCTGGTGCCGACCTTCTGTGAGTATCACCTGTCAACAAACAAGTGCTCTCCACACATGAGGAGTTAGTTATAGTTGTACACGAGTTAAGCTAATGGTAAATGGGGCACTAAAGATAGTTGATATGAGCTTTACTGGTAAAACTACTAAACAATCAAGTCTCTTTACTATCTTGTTGGGTAAAACAGCAGATTGATGTCGAGAGGGTTTTGTTGTTTTACTAGTTTAATGCCTACATCAGCAACATTCTGTCAGAATATCGGGGGTATATAATTGAATCGGACCAGGCAACACGGTAGTTGGAATAATCATCATCGATATTTGCAATTAAAAGCCTGCAGTTTACCTTGTCAGTGGTTAATTTCGAAGATGCCATGGCAGTCTGTATTCATGCCATCAATTATTTCAGTCTTGGCCGTCTCAGGACAATGTGACTGGGGAACATATGGCGAGCACTGCAACTTGACTTGTCCTCGGAACTGTGCCCTTGTCCCACAAACTAATCTTCAGCATTGTAACAGAGACACGGGGAAGTGTTCTGCGGGATGCCGGCGTGGTTGGCATGGTGATCTGTGTGACCAATCCTGCAGCACCAACTGTCTCAACAAGACCTGTAACCTGCAAACTGGGCACTGCACACTTGGCTGCAATGGAACCAACGTTGGAGATTTTTGTAACAGTACACGAGGTACGATGATTTTAGTTTAATATTGAGTGAATGAAATTATTAAAACTTCATTTTCACTATCTATACCTTTTCTTCTTGGTAACAGAATTATTTTGAATAACTACAAAGTTCATTTTAGATAGTTGTTGCCCATAAATATAAATTCTGTTGTTTCTTTAATACTGCTGAAACAAATATATACTCATGATATTGTCACAATTGTACAATCGACTCTGATTTTCATTGACGTGTGAAGCTGAAAATGAACACAATGATGTGATTTAACTTTTCAAAGATTTCTAAGGCTCCACAATAACTGATGACTGTTATAAAATGTGTTAATATATAATACAATAAACCCCGTCCATACCAAAGTAGATAAAAGCCCTCCCACATTCAGACAATATCATCATGTATTTATGAATACCTATTAAATACAATACCAGGTGTTCGCACAAAACATTCAGACAATATCATCATGTATTTATGAATACCTATTAAATACAATACCAGGTGTTCGCACAAACATTCAGACAATATCATCATGTATTCATGAATACCTATTAAATACAATACCAGGTGTTCGCACAAAACATTCAGACAACATCATCATGTATTCATGAATACCTATTAAATACAATACCAGGTGTTCGCACAAAACATTCAGACAATATCATCATGTATTCATGAATACCTATTAAATACAATACCAGGTGTTCGCACAAAACATTCAGACAATATCATCATGTATTCATGAATACCTATTAAATACAATACCAGGTGTTCGCACAAAACATTCAGACAATGATCATCGCCATGATGTTCGCATGAGATACCTATTCCCACATGAATACCTATTAAATACAATACCAGGTGTTCGCACAAAACATTCAGAAAATATCATCATGTATTCATGAATACCTATTAAATACAATACCAGGTGTTCGCACAAAACATTCAGACAATATCATCATGTATTTATGAATACCTATTAAATACAATACCAGGTGTTCGCACAAAACATTCAGATAATATCATCATGTATTCATGAATACCTATTAAATACAATACCAGGTGTTCGCACAAAACATTCAGACAATATCATCATGTATTCATGAATACCTATTAAATACAATACCAGGTGTTCGCACAAAACATTCAGACAATATCATCATGTATTCATGAATACCTATTAAATACAATACCAGGTGTTCGCACAAAACATTCATGGGCGGAACATGTTTCAACTTCACTTTAATCAGTATTTCGAAACAGATTCAGAAAAACGATTTGTCAAACTTTGAGAGAAAACATAAATTCATTGATCCAAAATGACGTGTATACCATAGGGTTGTATTGGTTTGATCGAGCATTTCATAAGAACATAATCTCAGTTGCTCATGGTCATATATTTGTACTAAAACCCTTAAAATCTGTTTTAGCGTTGATATTGCATTTTATGTTCTTATACACCCATACTTTAGGTGAAACACACAAAGTCTAGTTCTCAACGATACACATGTGGAACATATTCTACAATCTTCATAATCATTTCTAAAGTTAGTTTTCATTTCTTGAATTACAAAAAACCCAAACCTAGTAAGCCTAGACCCTTGCTAGAGTCATCAATTGTCTACCATAGTAAGCCTAGCCCCTTGCTAATGTCATCAATTGTCTACCATAGTATGCCTAGCCCCTTGCTAATGTCATCAATTGTCTACCATAGTAAGCCTAGCCCCTTGCTAATGTCATCAATTGTCTACCATAGTATGCCTAGCCCCTTGCTGATGTCATCAATTGTCTACCATAGTATGTCCTAGCTCCATTGCTGATGTCATCAATTGTCTACCATAGTATGCTAGCTCCTTGCTGATGTCATCAATTGTCTACCATAGATGTCATCAATTGTCTACCATAGTATGTCTAGCTCTTTGCTGATGTCATCAATTGTCTACCATAGTATGCCTAGCCCCTTGTCTACTGATGTCTATCATATCATCAATTGTCTACCATAGTATGCCTAGCTGCCTAGCTGATGTCATCAATTGTCTACCATAGTATGCCTAGCTGATTGTCTGATGTCATCAATTGTCTACCATAGTATGTCTAGCCCCTTGCTGATGTCATCAATTGTCTACCATAGTATGCCTAGCTGATGTCATCAATTGTCTGCCACAATTGAACCATAACTGCAACCAAAGCTTTCATGTGACCTTGAATGCTTTTGATCTGAGGTGATCAGTACTGAGCTATATGACTACTTTACGTGCCGGACAGCTGGGATTTGACTGCTTGAGAGTGTTCCTCGTCCCTCTGGCCATAGAGTCTTACTCGGATTCTTTATGTATATACATTAACATGTTCTCCTGTTAAGATGGCTAAATCAATGAAGGCGATTTACCTATTTGACCACTATTGAAAGTTTTCACATCATGTCACATGAAGCTTAATGTGAATCCTTTTTCTGAAACGTTCATGCAAGTTTACAAATTCAACTTTAAAGATAACAAAATGCATGATTGGGAGTAGCATGATTGGGAGCGCGTTTTCAAATGCCAATGGGAACGTCTATGTCTTCTACGAATGTCGGATTCAAAATTGAATCAAATAGCTTCAACTAATGAAGAACACTAACATTTCCATATCATCTCTCTAATGACATTGTGTCTTAGAGGTAGGTGTGAGAGGTGTGACTCATGTGCTCTAACAGCATGTTTGTCTTAGTGACAAATTTCAACAAACAAATCAATTAATGTAAATCGCGAGTTTGGATAACCCACATGGTATTTTTTGTCTGCATGTCTAAAGTTGTTCTTTCTGTGGAAAAACAGAAGATCTGTCTTGTATGTAGTCTTCCAAAGATTGCAGTTCTATATGTTAACTTTATGATTCACAGTGGTGTAGTCTGAACACCCTCACAAAAGGCAATGTCATGAGTTGATTTAAATAGAAGCGATAAACGCCTTTTCAGATTCATAACAACTCTCTGCTAAAAGCAAATCGAAACTTGACCTACGAAAACATTTTTTAAAGTAAAATATACATTTCATATATATAAAAATAGTTAAGTGACATATGAGAAGGAATTCCAGATACAAATATACAATTTGGGCAAAATATTCGAAGACATAAGTTAGTAAAATGTTCACATTATTCATTATTGACTGATATGTAACGTAATACTGACTAATATGTGTGGCTTAATTATTTCACTTTCCATACCTTATATTTCCGTAATTATTCGCTTTGCTTCATGACATAAAACTGAGATCCATTGTTTGGGTAAAGTGTTCATACATATCTGGTGCACAAATGTATTAATATCTCAACTGTCTAGATAAAATTTAGGTTAACGAAACGAAATGTCACGGAAAGACAAAGATTGTTTCTCTATTTATCATCAAATTTAAAAAACACAAACAAAAAACATCAAGAAACGCGATTCAGGAAAATGAAACTGTGTTGCTATACACAAAGATGAAACAAATATATTTATGGTTAAATATTTGAAGTAAATGTTTACACCACGATAATAATCACCACGTGATTTTTGGTTTCAAAATATTATTACCGGGATCCTTTTCCGTTTTGTGGTCAACACTTTAACTTGGACAGCTACATCATGGATCCTTGTATTGGTGAATAAAAGGATGTTGCTCAATGTACATGCATGACAAAGATGCTGTGGTAATGCTTGATGTTAAACGTCCAAATAGATGTGAGCAAAACTCATTTTGATGACTCAGTGTCCACACGATAACTGTAGCATGAAAAAATGTTTTCGCTGCCAAAGACAGGAGAGAACAATCTTCAGTGAAGAGAGAAATGCAGTGTATGGCCAGTTTACAATCTACGGATAGCAGTTAAAGGGAGAATAATCCATGTCCATTCAGTTTTGTTTTCAATCTAACAAACACTTATATGGTTAGCAGCAAACGATATACATTGCGTCTTGTTTATATGTATGTCCATGTGTGTATGTGTGTGTGTGTGTGTGTGTGTGTGTGTGAAAATGTATCTATGCACATGTAGGCGCTTATGCATATATGTGTATTTTGTATGTATACAGACAAGTGTAGCAAATTGAGGGATGAAAATAGAAAGAAAAAAGTTCTTTGCGCGAAAGCATCAATGTGTGCATAACCTGTCTCGCATCCTAATCTGAGCTGGTTAAATACTGACATATCGCTGAGGTATTGTACATCACACTTGATATTCAGTCACGAACTTAAATGAACACCATGGTGGCCATTTGAAACAGAATTCCTATCCATATTATGTATTTTAAAATATTTTATATTTTATATACTCATAGATTTTCAGTTAATTGGATGTCATTAAATTTTAGTTCCTGAAATATATACCTGATTTATTTATCAAGACATCGATATTCTTTGTCCAGAATGTGCCCGTGGCTTGTATGGAGATGCGTGTCAACATCCCTGCAGCAGCAACTGTGTGGAGGAAAGATGCAACCAAACAACTGGAGTCTGTATACTTGGCTGTAATGGGACTTATACTGGACAGTTTTGTAACATCACGAACGGTACAGAGATATAATGGATAATCTAGATGTATGTGGTTAATGTATAATCTGTAGAAGAATACAATGGATACCAGAATACAACAGATTTTTTGTCAAATTTGTCTGTACCATATAAGCATGTTTTACAAATGTATCAGTGACCTTTGGCGGTGAGAATGTTTATTTGCAAAGCCACATTGAAGCAGTGTCTGTAACCTTTGGTTAGTGATCGAGTGAGTAAGTTAGATGTAGTTACATTGTACATATTTCAATCATCTCTATCACCTCTATGGGGGGCATAGGTCAACACACCGAATTCAGGGCAATATAGGTTGAATGATAGGAACACATTTTCATTTCATTTCATTTTCAGTATCAAATTTTAAACATGTATATTGGAATAATAAGGAATGTAGCAACAAAATGTTATAAGTAGTTTGATGCTTTAATGTTGGATTGGTAAGGTAGGATAAAACAGGTCTAATTCTGATACCTTTTCATAAACAATCCTGAATATTCCTTAAATGTATGTCAAGCGAAGAGAAACCTTACTGCTGGCAAAGGTAGTCAAAAACTTTGGCGGATGTAGTCACTGAACGGATGTAGTCAGACACTGGCGGATGTAGTCACTAAACGGATGTAGTCAAAACTTTGGCGGATGTAGTCACTGAACGGATGTAGTCAGACACTGGCGGATGTAGTCACTAAACGGATGTAGTCAAAAAGCTTTGGCGGATGTAGTCACTGAACGGATGTAGTCAGACACTGGCGGATGTAGTCACTAAACGGATCTAGCCAAAAACTTTGGCGGATGTAGTCACTAAACGGATGTAGTCAGACACTGGCGGATGTAGTCACTAAACGGATGTAGTCAAAACTTTGGCGGATGTAGTCACTAAACGTATGTAGTCGTAGTCAAAAACTTTGGCGGATGGAGTCACTGAACGGATGTAGTCAAACACTTTGGCGGATGGAGTCACTGAACGGATGTAGTCAAACACTGGCGGATGTAGTCACTAAACGGATGTAGTCAAAAACTTTGGCGGATGTAGTCACTGAACGGATGTAGTCAAATCACTGGCGGATGTAGTCAAAAAACGGATGTAGTCAAAAACTTTGCTGATGGACTTAGTAAAACGTGCTTGTGAATGTAAGTAAAACGCCGGTGGATGTAGTAAAAATGGATGTCGTCAAAGACGCTGGCGAATGTAGTCGAAGATGCGGGTGAGTGTAGTAAAAACACTAGCGAATGTTGTGATAAATGTTGTCTTTGATTCCTGTAGCTAGCAACATCAAGGAAGAAGCACACAATCTGGCTGCCATACTGGTTCCTGTCTTCCTGCTTGTAGTCGCCACAGTCGTCGTGGTCCTATTGTAAGTCCATATGCTTCACGTAAAATGCTGCTTCAAACATTGGTTACAGCACTGATGTCTGATGTAATGTGTATGTTTTTAGGCTTTATTACGACCTTGAATGACAACAATTGATCAAACATCATTTGAGAAAAAGTCACATGTAGGAAATTGTGACTCAAGAGCTGGTGTTGACTTAACATTAGTATTAACACAAGTGAATGTGAACTACGACAGATGATAGCAGCTTTGTCCCTCACACAGAAAAAAAAATAACACATGACATAAAAACATAACAAATTATCTTTCATCATAATTGCCTTCCTCATTCGGACATCCCTGCCAACAGCGTTACGAAGATTTTAACCCGGTTTCTTTGAGGTCCTTCACCTCGGTTGTTGGAAAGGTATCTCCATAGCTCCCACAACGTCAACATTAGAGGTGACATGGGTTGGTTGTTCATGTCTGAAGTGTAACAGGAAGACTGTTTGGTGTTGAACGCCACACTTCTTGTATCCATTTTGTTGCTGCAAGAGCACATCTTCCTCAACCGTCATTGCCCTGACGGCATCCTTAATCATGAGATGTTGGCACTGTTGTCAGTGGACGTCTTTCAGAACTAGTCAGGAATCAAGAGAAGTTTGACAAGCATGGCAATAGGCAGCGAAAGGAATCTCTGCTCGGATATATTTCTACATATAACTGCAAACTAAATAGTTTCATTGATGTAAAGACACAGGAGTTTCCTCCCTTTAGTTGCAATGGAACTGTGGAAGGCATGTGTTTAATTGTCAGAAGGGAGTATCATCATCAATGCTCTATCACCCTGATTGCACGTATTGTAACCGCACATACACATGCATGCTATCACACATAAATGCATGCTTACACACAAACACACACTCTCTCTTGCTCTCTCTCTTTACCTCTCACGCACACAGAAGTGTTTCTATTATTTAAGAGACACTACAGTAATCCTTGTCCATGATCATGAAGCAACCAGTTTCTGTGATTTACTTTTTATGATTTAATCACTGCATTTTTCTCACTTTTAATGATTCATGCATTCTGCATAGTATGGTTCTGTTATATAATTCATACATTGCAAAAAGGTCGAACTTTTAACATGTCGAGGAACGCTTGATGACAATATTCCTTAGCTTTAGTCGAATAATGTCGGCAAAAAACAATTTCATAATCTCAAAATCGTTTACTAAATACTAAATGAATTGAATGAAAGAAGGAACAAGCGAATGTATGTATAGTTTAATATAGGGCTTCTGTTCATATGTGTGGAATATGTATACATGTCAGCATTATTAGTATTATACATTAGAACACGGATATAACGAACACGGATATAGCATACAAACGGATATAGCGAACAATGTAACTGCAATGACAAATTCAATAAGTATGTGTGTTATTATTTTTGCAGATGGCGCAGACGGAAAAACAGGTAATATATTATCACTTTATTTTCACAGTTGTCATTACATGTTGTGATACATGACCTGTTTATGGTGTGCAAACATACATAGTTTAAGGATTATTGGAATGAACGTATGTGACACTGTCGTAAACATGAAGAGATGGATGGATGGATGGAGGGAGGTTGTGGAATGTAAGCACCATGGTAATCTCAGGAGTTTGAGCTTACAATAGGGCCTATGTTCTCATGTCTGGAATATATATCATTTTATTATTTATGTTTTTTCTTTGTTGCAGTGCACAAAATGCGGGTGAGTATTTCACGTTTTCTTGGAACTTTTCCAGCACAAAAATTGGCTCATGTCATCGTATCCTAGTTGCGTAAATCGATGCTCATACTGTTGATCACTGTATTTTCTGATCAAGTTTCCATTCTTTCCAATATTAAGTAAATCAACAAACAAACAAAACATGAAACAAAAACGCAAACAATCCTGTTAGCACCGATGCTGTGGCATTTTGTTCAGTATGTAAAGTAAGTAAAGACTGTCTCGGTTCTACAATACAGTTGCTTTACCCTCGGTGTTTCACATTTTCATCTATTCAGTGGAGTAGCATGAGTATATTTTACTACCGCTTTCGTCGGTTTGGTATAGAATATCAATGTATCTCTATCTTGTATCTGTAGTTCGATAGTCAAAGTTGTAAATTTATCATTATGTACCCAAACCCTACCTCATCATATAACATTGCAAACAATAATGAAAGAAAGTCAGCGATTTCCCAAACACTGTCAAATTCCGTGCTTTTTCAGTGTAGAGGTTCGTGGGTTCTTTTCTACTTTTGTCAACATCATGACAGCGTTCCTTTACAGTCGTAGACCTGCATGAATGTGTTTTATCTCCCACATCAAGGTGACATGATGTGATATAAATGTTCAAAACGTGAAAATAAACCCAATCTCACAAAGTCTACTTCTTCAATCCATAGGTGTCTCCTACAACAGTAAGCCTCTGTTATCCCCTGACACATGAATGAATAGTTTTCCGAAGCTTTAATAAATCAAATAAACCAGATAATTCTCACGGAATGTAAGTCATGTCCAGGCATATACATAATGTCAAATTTATTTCTGTTCCGTTATTTATTTCCAAGAGAACTGAATTCATAACACTTCCTATATCGATTAAGCAATAAAGATGACATTAGAGCTGAAAGGACATGATTTGTTTTATGGACCAACAAAATTTATAAAATTTAAAATGACCCGATGCATTGCATCCAACAATTAATCAAAGCATGAAATTCAGTTAGACAGGTTAAACAGGAATCATGAATTTTACTGCAATCAAATGTGCAATGAAATGTTGTTCTTTCTTTATAATCGATTTACCCCCTGTTTACATGACATGACTGCAATTAATAAAAATATACTGGAATAAAGTAAACTTATTGATTATTTGTTTCTATAATCAGAAGGAACTGAAGCTGAGGAGACGGCTCCACTGCAAACTGGAATAATGAATGAAGGTAGATGGTAGACGGATGAGATGTCTGATTTAACATGATCCATTTTCTGCCTAAATGTATCAATCAATGGAAAAAAAAAGCTAGATACTGGAAAATAGATACTAGATACACGTGTAAAATGAACATTTTTGTTTCTGTAAACAGAATTAGCAGCACCCGGGGAGATGACTCCACAAGAAACTGGAATAATGACTGAAGGTAGATAGCAGACAATTGACAACAAATATTAGTATGGTGTAGTTGTAGCAAACATACAAGAAGATATTTATACAATGAAATGGATTTCCTTCAAACAAAAACTATCAATATATACGGAGAATATAAAAATAATTAAAAATATTCAATATGAATCTTCTCAAAAGAGGTGGTCCAGTATTTGAATTCCATTCTAGACAACCACAGAAATATTAACGAGCTATCAGACTTTAGTCTGGTCTGAAAATGATTGAGATTTACAGTGAGATTTGAGCTGAAAGGACATGATTTGGGTTCTTTTACCACCAAAAATTGATAACATTTAATATAAACCTGTGCATTCCATGCATGAATTCATCATAAGATAAGATTCAGTTCGACAGGTAAAACAGAAATTGTTTATCCCCTGTTTACATTATACAAACACAATAGATATAAAAATGCTGGATGCATGCTGGGAGAATATAAACTGACATGTATGGAAAGGAGCATTTTTGTTTCTGCAAACAGAAGGAGTTGAAACCGAGGAGACGACTCCACTGCAAACTGGAATAATGACTGACGGTAGGTAGAAGACTGAAGACAAGAACTATTGGTCTAATATAACTGCAGGAAACATACGAGAAGAAATTTGAACAATATTATGGATTTACTTCAAAAACAAATTATCAACATATGTGCAGATCAATTACATTCCATTAAGAGTAATCAATATGAATCTTCTCAAAAGGTAAAGTACTTGGATGAAAAGTGCCAACACATGCTCAGAAAAAAACATCAGACCTCAGACATCTTCAGATTGGCACACAACTGGTTACTTTTTGTCAGAGAGATGATTCCCTCAAATACGTCTTTCAGCAGACTTTCATGTACTGGCCTATTCACATAGTAGTTTTGATTGAGGCCTATATTTAAAATGAACGCCAGTTGCGCAAAGACAAAAACAAACCTCTTTCAATCGCCAAGTAGTATGCTGCCGTGTCTCAGTAGAATTTTCATTAGTCATTGGAATATCACTTCATTGTGTTCCAACAGTCCCTATTTTGATTCTTTCTGAAATGTTCCTCTGAGTTTACAAGAACTAAGGGCTATTTTAATCTGTGTATTAATTTCTTAAATTTTCTTTAAACTCCTTTGCCATGTCATCAGTTTCAGATTGGCTACAACACGAGATGAAGCACGCAGAAACCGTTTTTAAGGAAACTAGCATCTACAAAAGAGTGAAGAAGGAACTGGAGACACAGAGACATGTGACGATGAGCGGAACAGCAGGGGGGAGGGAAGACCACTATTGCTCTGATGTTAGGGAAACACTATAACGACAAAGGCTTTAAAGTGTTTTTTGTTGCTGATGTTTGCAAAATCAATCTGAGTGATTGTTTAGATGGAGAGGACAAAGTTTGTTTTATATTTCATGACATCTTCAAAACGGTCCAGTTACCAAGGGACAAACCACATGTTGACTGCATTTTAAGTGGACTTGAAAAACAGTTTGAAACCTGTAAAGAGGAAAGTAAAAGAGAACTTTATGCAATATTAACTGCAAACACAAACACAGTCAGAGGTGAAATTTCAGAATTTGGGAAATCATTTTTTAGTGGTTCTTCTTTCATTGACCTCACCAAGTTTTCTTATCAGTACTCACCCGAGGAGAAGGAGGAAATATTTAACAATCATTATAAATCATCACATTCAGATGATCCCCTGGGCCTCGATGTGGAAAAGATTTGTGGTTTTGAACAATCTGTTTTAGGCTTTCCTCAAACTTCCAAACTATTTTTCGCATTTCCAAATTTTCAAAAGCACCGTGAAGAGTTTTTCCGTGAGCCTTTTCTTTACCTTCGAGAAGAACTGAAAACAATTCTCCACCAAATGAATGACCAGTCAGGTGCTCTCATCCTGATGTTTCTGTGCAAGGAGAGACTTAACTTACCTGAAGTGGAAGCGAAGTCTGACAATCGTGACCTGGAAGAAATGTTTACAAGAATTAAAGATGTTGTACAAATTTCCTCACGTACTCATCTAGCAAATTCCATCAGGCATTTCTCTGGTACGTTTTTCACCAAAGGAGACATAACAGGGTTTGCCCATCCTTCCATCTACGATGCCTGTGCGTGTGCCTTATTCACTCTCAACCCATCCCTCGTCTTGGAATATTGTCATGTGAAGTTCCTTCGTGATCATGTGCGTCCTGACCAACATCTGGAGACTTCTACTGTGGACAAAAATCGACCTATCATCCACGTATCAGATGTCTACATTGCCATGGCTGATAAAAGGCTAGGTAGTATATCTCATTACGATCTATTTTTAAAATAATCCCATATACAGTTGCAAAATGTAAATGCTTTTAGTGTCGAAGGGTATGAGTTTAGAATACCGCTTTGGACATTGTATAATTGCTGGATTTTATTTTCCAACCAGCTATCGACGGTCATTCAGAGAAGCTGTCAAAAGAAGAGGATTGCAATGCTGGTGTCATGAGCAAAGGTAGATCTGAAACTGAATCTAAATCTTATCATAAGGGCAGTTAAATTTAACCCTTTCCCTGTGAAATGTGCGACTTTGGATTCAGTTGATGGCTGGCAATGAGAAACATGATATTATATAAACGTATATAAAAATTATATTGATAACCAACGTCAATTGTTGGACTCTGAAAAAGATATTTTTATGTGTGTTGTGAGGTACATTCATCTGGTGAGGGTACCAGGCCTTTGCAAATGCTTAGTGCATGCTGCCCATTCCATCTTCTATGCACATGCACAGACATGCCAAATCTTTACCTGAAATAAACACATGGGACATGTCATCAGACATAATGTTTGTCACAAATGCATCAAATAGGGAATTACCATGTGGTAGTCTACAAATGTTTGATTTTCAGGTTGGCTGGACAAAGAGTTGGTGAAGACAGAAGATGTGTTTGTGAAAACTGGCATCTACGACACAGTGAAGACGACGTTGGAAACTCACGGACACGTGACAATGAGTGGTGGAGCAGGTGGAGGGAAGACCGCCATTGCTCTGATGTTAGGGAAACATTATGAGGAGGAGCAAGGCTTTCTGCAGGTCCATGTTGCTGATGTTTCCAAATTAAAGTTGTGTGTCTACACACGTGAACTTTCTCACAGGAGCGTGTGTTTCATACTTCATGACATTTTTAGGATCATAGAGCGTTCAAGAAACATAGCTGTTCTCAAAAGTGTTTTGCGTCAACTGATCGAGTGTAAGAACAAGACACAAAAACACAAACTGTTCATCATATTTACAGCTAATACATATAGTGACCGTGGTGTGATATCTCAGTTTGGGGATGAAGGGTCATATTGCTTCAGTGATCCATCGTTCCTTGACTTCAATAAGATGTCTTGTCAGTACACACCTGAAGAGAAGAGACTAATCTTTGACAAACTTTGCAAAGGTTTTGACACAGCTGTCAATGTGAAAAAGATTTGTGGATTCGACCAATCCATCCTTGGCTTTCCTCAAACATGCAAACTTTTTGTTGGGTTCAAAAATTTTCGAAACCACCCGGAAGATTTTTTTCAAAGGCCTTTTCACTATCTAAAAGAAGAAATGAATTCAATTCTTGGACGCAGGGGTGATCAGTCAGCTGCTCTCATCCTGATGTTTTTGTGTGATGGTTCACTGAACTTGCACCAAGTTGAACTCCCGTCTGACAACAAGGTTCTCCAGGATCAGTTCAAGACCATGAATGACGTGGTACAATTTACAACGAGGACAGCTGTAGCCATGGCAGTGAGGCAGTTTTGTGGTAGCTTCTTCACAAAAGGAGATATAACGGCATTTGCCCATCCTACCATCTATGATGCGTGTGCCATTGCCTTATACGGGAACCACCGAGTGTTGGTGCTGAGATATGCCAGTATAAGGTTCCTCTGTGAGCACGTGTACACCAAAGAAACAGATGATACCTTCCCTGAGACTATGGTCTATGTACCTAAAGCCTACATCGTTGAACTGAGAAACAGACTGTCTAAATTAGACAGACATCCCAACTATACAGCCCTCCAGACATTGATTGGGAAATAATCTGGCATTAGCTGTGAACCTAGCAATGACGTGTAATCCTGTCTTCATCAGTCTGATACAGCCATATGTTTACCTGGACTTTCTAAATCTGACTCAGGTGCAAGGTGAAATACGTCCAGACATGGCGATTAAACTTGTCTCGTTTGAAGAATCGGATTTCTCCATGAGTATGTCTATTCATCGAAGAATAAGAAGCAAGAACTGAAATACTTGCATTCGAACACAATGTGTCAGATGCCAATAATGAAGAGATGTGCACAAGTGACAATATAACCATTTCATGACAAATGCTGTACAACGTATATTTCCTTGCACCCAGAAGAGTATACCTGTGGAATGATGCCATGCTTCATGGGGTTATTGATTATTCAGATACCAATGAAATGGACAACCCTCAAAGACCTCATATAGACCATGTATCGTCAGACATTGGCAACGAGCCGAACAAATTTATAAAAACAATATTTGTGAATTTTATTATATTTCATTTGAAATATAAACCTTTAACTAACAGAGAGACAAAGTGAGTAGCCAAACATTAGGTTGGGTGATGACTAGCCATGTCGTCGATTGTTGTTAGTGTAGACGTTATATACTCATCACAAAAGAAACGTCACAATGGAGAGATATATCAGAATCTGTATGTTTCCAAACGCTTTCAATAACATGTTGTTGTTAGTGTATACATTATATTATGTGACCCTCTCTGTTGGCACTTCTGCTCAAAGTGAGTGAGATAAAGGGATTTCTTGTTAGTGTAGACGTTATATACTCATCGCAAAAGAAAAATCACAATGGAGAGAGATATTAGAATCTGTATGTTTCCAAACACTTTATATAAACTTTGAGACAAAGGACAAAGATGAAACTTGGCAAGAATGATAATCAAGGATGGAATGAAAATGTCAGATGTTCTTAATGAGAAAGACCACAGTATTCATCAAAATTCAGTATCTCGTGCGTCCGCCATGTGCATTGATAACTGCCGTACGTCGGTACAAGGAATGGACGAAGAGACTGATAAAGGCCATAGGCACTTGACCCCACACTCTGAGGAACGCTGTCTGCAGTCGTCGGTCTTGGTCGTACGTCATTCAGCCGTAGTTGAATCTCGCCCAACAGGTGCTCAATGGGGTATAAATCGGGACTGAGGGAAAGCCGATCATTGGATGTCAATCTCAACGACACATCTTATTATCAATCAAGAGATGGGGATCATACAACTCTTAGCCGCTAGGTGCACCGTTATTGCGGCTTTCTCATCCACTACTACTTGTACCCGCAAATGGGTGTTTCACCCATTCACAGCTGGGTGGACTGGGACATATAGTCACAGATTCTTTGTCCAAGTATACTGTGCACGTTGCTGTACCCACAACTAGGTGTTTGCACAACATTCATGTGTCTGCACCGTCTGGTTGACTCACACGGATTTACGTGGGTCACTGGGTTGTCGATACTATACACCTCAGGGTTGTGGACAACATTGAAAGAGCCCGCACACACCATTACGCGTTATCATGCTGAAACTCGTGGTTCCGACGATGTGCCAAATGAGGTATGACGTGTGGTCTCAAGACTTGGTCAATGTACCGAGCAGCTGTGACACCATTGCATCTCCCTGGACCGATGTGCTAGAATACCACAAGCCCGACTCTCCGTGCAAAACCAATTCCATCCCACGCCATGATGCTAGGGTCACCCCACGAGTCTCTTCTCTCAACATCACAAGCATCTGAATATCGTTTCCCACGGCGTCGCCATAATCTCACTCTACTATCTGCTGTTGAAAGTGGTGCCGATGCAGGTGTGTGTTGCCCAGTGTAGAAGTTTCAAATGTCGACGCACGGTGTCCGCATTTATGTCGCTGGTTTGTCCCAATGGTGTGACGAGCTGTTTCCACAGCAGCAACAAAGCGATGTTGAACATGTTGTCAGGCAATATGACGATCTTGATGTGCCCCTTTGGTCTTCCACTACGTGGTCGGTCGTCTGTAGTGTTGCTGGCCATGTACCGTTCCTGAAGTTTGTATATGGTTCTGACGTTGACTTGATAGGCATTGGCAATCTGTCGGGCGGTTTGTCTAGCTTGCAATCATCCAAGGGCTTGGTTTTGCTGATCTCTTGTCAATCTTAGCATGTCATAGCAATTCAACACCGAATGGACTGTCTCCGTTCTGGGTGGATTTTGATAGGGCAAGAAATGGGGAAACGCACGTGCTTTTCAATTTGTATGGAACACACGTGCATCAAAGTACCATGGCCGTAATACGTTTGGGTGATCGGTTTTTGTACTCACCTGCTTTGTTTTGGGTCATCAAATGGCAGTTTTTTTGACGAGGTAATGTTACATTTAACGTTTTTTGACAATACTTACCTATATATTTTAATGACAATTATTCATGCAATTGTACTTCAGGATGACGTTTCTTTTGCAGTTCAGTATATTATATAACCCTTTATGATGGTACTTCTGCCCAAAGTGAGTGAGATGAAAGATTTGTCAAAGTCATTTCCATAGCCACAAGAAGTATCTCGAGTTTACAGTTCTGACTGTACAGGTGTTTATGCATCGCGGTGATGATAACAGTTGATAACAGGTGATAATAGGTGATCACAGTTGATAACAGGTGATAACAGGTGGGCATGCTCCACCGCTGGCACATGTCATAAACACATGGAAAGGCAAGTCAACTGTACACCTAACAAACAGCATGGTTGATGATACCTCACTATCTAGAAACCAAAGGATGGACGTGCAGGAGTAAAAAAAGTAAGATGACTGTTAGAAAATGCAAGTCACCCTTCTTGTCATGCGACATTGTGGAGGCTATACTTGTCCCTCTCAATCCTTGTGTCCATCTCTATCTTTATGCATAGATTTAGATATGAATCACATGAATTGGGCTTTACGCTTGTCCTTAGGTATAGTGCTGTACAATGTTGAAGAATGAATAAAATGTTGTGTAAAATATTGACTTGGTACTTTTGTAAGATTGTGAAAGGTCCAGCAACTCATTTGAGGTTTTTGAGAATCCACATGGTAGTGATGCAACTTGTTTCAAATAGTTTCTGTGAATTTGCAGGAGTTTCTACTGCCACGTTCTATCTATTGTGTTCTGCATTCTTAATTGCTGACAGAAATATGTTTTAATTTGTTAACACTGTACCACAAAACAATATTTAATCATTCATTGTCAGGTACAGACTTGCTAAGATCCAAACATGCTGCATGCCACAAGCAAGTGACCTGCCCATCAAGCTCAAGACAAGAACGTATTTTATTGACGTTGATCAACGAGTGAGTGAGCTAATATTTAACGTCACATCAGCCATATCGTGACGAAAACAAATTTGAGATTGGCAGAGAATGAATACATATTAACATAAAACATGTCATCAATGGAAAGCAAAGCAACTAGACTATCGCAGTTATATTTCAAACTGGCATTTAATATTCAAATAATAGCACTATACGCATAATATACTATACAAACGGGCTATATATCGCCAACAACTGAAGGCAGATCACCATACAAGGGACCATGGGGACTTTCAGTACTTTTGCTACCTGCGTGGACCCTAGCTGGATTTACAACGTCCACGTTCATCCACTGGCGATTGTTGTCAAATCTAGCCATAATTTAAAATTACAAAAATACTACGTTTAAAAAATCTGGTGGATATAAATTGACCTTGAATGTTTTGAATGTTCCCCCACAGGAAGACAATAATTTTACAATACTTCCACCCCTTGTGAAGATACAACCACTAACAATTTAAAAATACCCGTAATAATATATACGTCTTAAATACAAAATATATGAATCAAAATTTGTGAAGGAATTGTATTTCCTTTAGAAATGCATTAATTAAATGGTAATTCACGTTAAAAAGATCCCTAACTGAATTTACATTGTCCTTTCAGATGTTGACGACAGTGCTCAAATTTAAACATTATCTAAAAACACAACTGTTCTGTGATTAAAAACCTGGTTGATTTAACTTTACTTTACTTTTCGGACTTACGTAGCCTCTCACGGGGGACACTGATTTTACTTTCCTTAACCACCTTCGAAGCTACAGCCGCTGTTGATCAATGAACCCTTATATTACCAATAAAAGTGACTCATGCACAGATCGCTAACTAGTCGATATATGTCAGATATCATTTCTCGTAGTTCATGTTTGATATCAAGGTGAATCTATTGTTTTAGTTTCTGTACACGATGTCTATGTTTACACCGATGTATCTGGCACTGTGATATATTGGTGATGACGTAACCCAGATAGCAAGGACAACTCAGGGAATCCCCTGCTGGAACCTTACGGCATTGAATGTCATTGGACTAGCACTGTATACCTAGCACAACATAGGAAACATACATGCAGCTACACACACGTTCATGCCAAGATGTGTTCATGTGAAACTGCAGAAACAAACACCAGTGTTTCTCAATCAATATGTGGCTAGAATATTTCTGAAATTATGAACGATGAACACAAAGTTGTGTCATGAAGTACGTGCATAGATGTGAGCAAAACCGTGTTGGCACCAAACGCTCAAAAGACAAATATATTAATATGATCATTAAGGAAGTGGCAACATCTACTGTGGTAAATGTTTACGTGCTAAGGACATGTCGCAGGTGGGCACACATCAGGCGCTACATGTGGGGGTGATCTTGTTCTGGGGGTAGGGGGGATCATCAACTGTGTACACAGGAATGGGAGGGAGGGGTGTGTGAGCTATTTTTTACATTAAAATATTAACAAATTTTGCCTTGAAATTATGGGAAGGGAAGGAGGGTCATTGATGTGGTACATGATATGCAAGGGGGCAGAGGGTGTCACTTACTTTGTACGTGCTTCATGTTTACTTTACCTTGACTCTGCCCCCAAACATGGACAGTGTTGTAACTTTATTACAATCAGTTAAGATTCATAGAGCTCAATGGTGTGCTAGTTCTTATGTTTTACTTTCGGAGTCAACACGGACACTTCTGGAGCAGCTGGGCTAATTCATTGTATGTCAACCCAGGATTCCATTTGGAAGCCTTTCGTCATGTCACATTACACCTTTCACTACATCAAGATCAGCAACCCGTGAAAGGCCGTGTTAGAATGTGCCTTCAGTAACCCATGCTTGTCGTAAGAGGCGACTAACGGGATCAGGTGGACAGGCTCGCTGACTTGGTTGACACATGTCATCGTACCCGAACTGGGTAGGTTCACCCACAAGTTATCTCCCCTCATGGACATTTTAATAATTGTAAGTTTACAGTCATGTGAACGGCACCCTGAGAGGAGGAATATCACGTAATTGGTAGGGCTGTATCAACGGGTGTGACGAGGGGTGGTATGGCCGACAGTGGTCTTCTCCGTGTAGTTCTAACTGTAGAAACTCCAAGTGTCAGCCAGACAGCGGGTCGTGTACAGATGGGTGTGCAGGTGGCTTCTATGGCGGCCTCTGCCAATACACGTGTGAAGTTTGTCTCGATGGTGTCTGTGATCAGAAGATTGGCACGTGCTTCAATGGCTGTTAACTGTCTGGACGATGATGTGATTCCACGTGTTCAGCCAACTGTTCCATAGCGGAATGTCTATAACTATAATTTATACCACGGTAACTATAATTTATCGGCTTCGCTCAATATATTTAATATGTTTGGTACTTGTTTCCATATAATTGCCTACATTTCATTGAAGAATGTCACTTATTGATTGAAACAGTGCGTGCGATATTAAACTCGCCATGTTGTCTAATTGAAAATTGCTCTGTTTTATATTATATGTTGAAACAATCATCTCTACATATTCATATTACATTATTCTCCCTTTCAGGTGTTAGTGACAGCATTGTTGCTGACCTGAAGACTGGGCTATCAACGGTGATGTCACTGTTTGGCTACAAACGTCTGAGAACTAAACAGTGAGTACGATAAGCATAAACTACTGGGCTAAAGAAAGTTTTTACCAACTTCACAAACATCCTGGAAAATGAATCCTTGTCCGCGGCGGCGTGAAAACGGTGGTACGTGTGGCGTGATGATATGGTCACGGTAGAAGACACCAGTAGATGTGGAGATCGGCTCTGCCCGTTATCGTGATCCCACCCCACACCATAACAGACTCCCTTCCATTATGATTCGATTATGTGGAATCAAGGCAGTTGGCTGTAGGTGTTCACAAGGGCATTGTCAAACACGATGGCGGCCGTCATTGAAGTTCAAGGAGAACCTTGACTCATCATTTGCACGTGTGAAACATGGTGTGATTTTTCATACCCACCCCCTGGTGCGTTTGGGCCCAATGTTTCCGGATGTCAGGACACCTGGTCAATGTGCAACATGCAAGGTGGGCCGATGGTTATCCTCGAACATACCTAAAGTACTCGGAGAATTCTAAACTCCTGTGTTTTTGCCGCTCTGTTTAACTTCAATATCCCCTACTTTTTCTGAGCAGTATATATTAGATTGTCGAACCGTTGGTGAGTGTCTGTGTTTAGAGTGTCACAGATCCTTGGAGATTTGTCAAACACTGAAGTCTTATTGAACCTCCTCCGATGTGGGTCAGTCTCTCAATTCGTCGAACCTCGGAAGTAATTTATGATGTCAGTGCGATTGCCAAGTTCACCAATCCTGGGTTCTGCAAAACTTAGATCTTCAGATTTCCGATACTTTGATGTTTAATGAATGAAGTGACTGTTCGACCATGAATCGATGTTTGATGTGCTTCACACATTTTACCCACGTGACGGGCGAACGCTTTAACCACTAGGCTACCCTGCCGCCCCACCGCAGATTGGACATCCAGATCGTTGAGAGCTAGACTCACACCGCCACCATGAGACTGAAGTTACTGTCTTTGAAATACCCTCTGTTGGAAAGAACTGGGCGTTCTCAACTGCACACAATAGGGTGATGAAGTAATCACTGACAGGCTTCGAACTGGTATATGGAATCGTGTTAGGCTGAGATGACAAATAAGTTCGGCAGAACCGACATCTAATAAAATATCTGACGTTCCAATACGGAGAGAGATACATGGTAGATCATCTTGTCTTGACACCCTCTAAAGTGGTATATCAGACAGCCGGTCTCGTAAACTCCTTAAGGGGGGTCTTTAATGATGAATTAATTTTAGAGCGTGAAAACTTTCTTAGAGCTTTAATTTGGGATCGAAAGAATTGAGAGAAGTGCATGGTGTGAGAAAGGAAAATCAAATTGTACAGATTGCGCTATTTACCGTAGAGCATTGAACTTCAGTCCGGAAATTAGGTCACTCATCCTCTGGTAGTAGAGAAGATGGAGCATCTGCCAAAGATGAAGAAGGGAGAGAGGTCTGTATGCATGTTCCTGTGGCTGTAGGCAGAGTTGACTGAGGGAGGCATGCCAACATCAAACGTTGTTGTGAAAGGATGGAGGAGATTTTTTTTAGGATTTAATGAAGTCTATATTCTGTTTGGGCCTTTGGGTAAATCAAGCGAGGGGTTGGGTAGGGGTAGGGGTGCTGCGGTATGGGTTGAGTATAGTGACAGAATACAGTTGTTCAGATGTGACATGTTAATATCATCAGCTGGTCTCCGGGGCAGGGTGTGTAAAAAGACGACGAAGTCTGCGGAAACAAAATGCAAAAATGACAGGCAAGCTTAACTGGAGGGGAAAATGATTTTTTGTGTTGAAGAAAACGTCACCACCGGTCAATTGGCATGAGAAACGTGCATGACCCAGATTTTTGGGAGGTGACCATGGAGATGCAACGTGCTAGATATTAATGACATGCTCATCTATATTTCTGAGAAGTGACCATCGTGTGAGACAGAAATATATGGATAAGCATGGCATTATATATCAAACAAACATATTGTCTTTCACAGAGGGCGCAGAATTAAGAGTATTAATTAAGCTGCAGAGCCAAGCCATGACGACCAGGTGTTGCCACACTACTGTGAAATCAGAGACGAAGATGT